CCAATTTGATTGAAATTATTTTTAAATCATTTTATATGACAAATTCAACAATCAATTCGTCTTATATATGGATGCATTTTAAAGTCTTGCACCTCACAGGAAACATGAGGTTGAAAGTCTTCCTTAATGCTAAAGAATATGAATCGAAGATGCACATTGTGAGATAGATTGCACACGTGGGGCAATGGAAGAGCGGGTGGACCAAATGATGGAATTACAGATATCTTAATTCCCAGATTTTAATAAAAAATTACAGTGATCCAATCGTACAAATTTGGCAAGAGACATATCCAAACTTTAACAAAATTGTGAATGATCCACATCATTTACAAGAAAGAGGAATATTGGCACCAATATTTATTGTGGTAGACACAATAAATGAATACATGAATGTCCTTAATGTTGGTGAGAAGTCGAAGACATTATTAAGTTCGGACAACATATGCAAATCAGATACAAACTCTTATTTATGAGCAGACTTACATATGCCAAAGTTTTTAAATAGCATTTTGTGCTTCAAGCGTCTCAAACCATGAACTGACTTTAAAGGTTGGAATTCCTGTTATGTTGTTATGAAATATTGACCAAACAATGGGTCTTTGTAATGGTATTCAGTTGATTATAACTCGGCAAGGATCCATGTCATCCAAAGAATTTTAGAGCAGTAAAACATGCTGGACATGAAGTTGTGATTCCAACACTCGCACTCACGCCTTCGGATATGAGGGTTCGTTTTAAGTTTTAGAAAAAACAATCTTCAATAATGACCTCATACGTTATGACAATAAATAAAATTCAAAACCAATCCCTGAAGCACACTGATCTTCTACTGGAAAAATCAGTCTTTAGTCATGAATAGTTTTACGTTGCATTTTCTCGAGTGACAAATCGTCAAGGCCTTAAAATTTTGATTTGGGACACTGATAATAATGTAGTACTCGAGCATACCACTAATGTTGTATTTAAAGAAGTTTTCCAAAATATTTGAAGTATGTTGTAATGCTCACTTTTTTGTTTTTATTTGTAATGTATTAATAATAATAATAATAATAATAATAATAATAATAATAATAATTATAATAATAATAATAATGTTTTAATGTCATTTAGTCTGTTTCTCCTTATCAATAAGCTATTATGTAGGAATATGACCTTTATCCTTGGAATTTTCTAAGATATATAGAATAAAAATACATTTCTTACAAATTAAACTCTTAATTAAATTTTAATTATGACAAATATAATAACGAAATGCTTCCCGTGCATAGCGCGGGTACAATGCTAGTTAAAAGCAAAAGGATGTGAGGCAACCACATGGAAAATAAGTTTCTATTGTCTCACCCTAATTGGCCAAAAATAAAAATGGGCCACACTGCTGCAGGCCCAATTCTCTTTCAACTTATTAATCACCCACCCGTGAAACAAAAAAAAGTACAGTACAACATTTAAAGATGGTCTGTTTGGGCCGTACAAAACTGTACAAATAAGGGTTTGGGCTGTGTTTATTATCAATCGTAATAAGTTTTTGCCTAAAACTTTTATCTGGACTATAGGCCCACAAACAACAACCAAATATTTGGTGGCTAAAAGGTGTGGGGGCCGGGGGGTAAAAAGCTAGAGACCGTAAAAGGGTAAACCAGGTTTTCCCTGCATTGTCTTTGCACTTTTTTCTTATAAAAATTTATCTAAAATAATCTCAATTTTACTTTTTTTTTCAAAAATAATCCTACATTTCCTTGTAATGCATAATAATCTCAATTTTACTAAAACTTACGAGTTTGAGGCAGCAACTAAGTTGTTAATGGCGGGCGGGTTAATGGAACAACATGTTTTCTTCATTTCTTTATTAATTGCTTTATGTGTGAAAAATCTAGATCGATGAACATTAAGAAGGTGTTTGAGAGCGTGATGAGTTATGTAAATTAGAAGTCATAATTTAGAAGGAGAAAGCATGTATTTCTAGCTTTGCTAGAAAGCACTACTAGACTTTAATTTTAACTTCTAAAGCCAAAATTTATAAGCTAAAGTAGATTAGCAAACATCTAAAATTATGTTTTAGTAAAGTAGAAGCTATAAGTTATTTTGAAATGCAATCCCAAACACCCTCTAAGTCCATGATAAGAACACTATTTTTTAGCAGCTCTCATATCTATTAGCTAGTACAATATTTCTCCGGTGCCCTACACCCCCTTCGGTTGCATCCATAAGTTAATTTTAACTTGAAGCCAAAATTTGACTCAAAAGTCAAAATTAATTTGAGGGTGCAATTGAATGGGGTGGGTGAAGGTGTGTTCGGATCAGGGCGTGGTGGGGGATTTAATGGAGATTAGGGGGTAAGAACCGTCAATTTTACGAACGGAAAACCGGAGCACCCCCGGATTATTTCAGAACCAATGTCATAGGAACCGGCCTCTTTGTTCAAAGTGATTACAACTTCTTAAGCATAGAAAACGAGCATGAACAATGGATGGGAAGAAGTTTGGGTGACTTTATTGCCACTATACCTATAACGCATTGAAATATATTGTCAAACATTTTATAATGAATTTTTAATAATTCTAGTTTTGAATTAAGAAAATATGTTAGTTTTGAAATAACAGTCCTAAAAATAACATATTTTCAAAGTCACTTTTTTATGATCACATTTATACTCGAAGTGCAGGTCTTGATGAGGCGAGTTCAAGGATTCACGCTTTAATCTGAGACACAAAACTTAGTTACTTGACTGCCTCAAGATTAAAAAGATAATAAAGTAAAATAATAAAACTAAGTATGTCATAGAGTCAACCAATATATCTAATACGGAGTATTTTTTAGAACAACTGACACAACAACCATCCAAAACGACTAACACAACAACCAACTCATAAACTAGCACGCGTCATGTCATGTTATAAAAATAATGTCAAATGTAGGTGAACTTTAATTTAAAAACACAAGTATGTTTTCAACATTATTAATTACTAACTACTCTTTAGACAATTATGCGCAATGCATTATTAATTACGGAGTTATATAAAACAATCCCCAAAAAAAAAAAATCATGAACATTGGAGCAAATTCTCAAGAACTATTAATTGCATTGTTGCAGTCGCACTTGTGCCACCAGACAAATTGTTCAAGTGATTCAACCCACCAATGTTCTCCCTCATTATTTAACTCCCTTTCTTTCCTACAACATGAAATTGAGAGTTTCAAAAATACTATTCTTCCGTCCAAATTTAAATTGTCTGTTCCAGTTTACGATGTTTAGTTAAAGTTATTTAAATATATGAAAAATATTCTGGGTCGACGGAGGTTGTATAAGCTTTGAGTCCATTGATAGAGGTAGAGAATGAATTCGAGCCGGGTTAATTTTTCAATAAAAATATCGTAAGTACTCTAAAAAAAATAGTGACAATTTGTTCAGTTGTAACGGAAGTGGAATGAGTAAAAGTTGACTTGGGTTGACTTGGAAAGTGGAGTGTGGGTTGAGTGGGATGTGGGTGGTGCTTGTTGACAAATCCATGCATCATCCATTTATATATATCCGCTCTCAGTGCGTCTGAATCACTACCTCACTATCCATCATCCAATTTACACCGTTGACACGCCCACTTTGTCATCCCAAAATAATTTATTTACTCCGTTTTTTTTTATCGCATGACTTTTCCATAAATTACTTTCACGGTCCCCTCAAAATGATTTACCACTTTAATATTACGATTTCTCGATAATTTTTGTCTATTCACATATTTTTATTGATCATTTGATAAAATAAAATATTCTTGTTAGATCTTGTTTTGTAGAACTTTTAATGTAGTTTTTAAATTTTTCAAGTTTTATTTTTTTATTTCTATATCAAATTGTGAATAAAATTATTTTAAAAGTCACGCAATTTTACACTTCGTTCTATCATTAAACTTCTTTCAGGAACGGAAGAAGTATTTGTTATTCCATTTATTAAACTTCTTTTAGGAACAGATCGGATAGAGTATTTGTTATTCCATTTATTAGATATAATTAATATGTACCCAAGTAGAATAAAAAAACCATATTTTACTTTTATCCGTTCCAAAATAAACTTCTTGCTTCTTTTATTGTTTCAAATTAAAGTTTTCATTCTTTTTAAAGAATGAAATTGGTGGTCGGAAATAATTCTCATCTCTACATCAAATCAAATATTAATTAAATAATAATTTTACTTTTTAATGTTATAGGAAAGGCTCTCGTGGCCGATTTTTATTTTTTTATTATTCTACAATAGTATTGAATTTTTCAAAACCAATAAGAGAGTGCCCCATCCATATGATATTAGGCCCCTAATTCATTAAATTCGTCATGTTCCGTAATAAAGTCCTGCTTGTATGTCCTCTGTCCTACTAAAATAATTTTTATTGTTTGTCACAAAAAAAAATGTTAGTTTCACTTTTATCTTTTACAAACACTGACCAATCAGTATAAGGAGCTGATTAATAAATATGTGTAGAAATATGCCGCATGTTATTAAGGCCATATTTGGGATCAATATTTTTTACAAGCATTTTGAATAAAATTTTCACGGTGTAAATTTATTATGAAAATGTTAAAAACTACCGTCATATAGTCTTTTCAAAATGATACCCCTAACCTCTAAAGCTGACGTAAAACGGGGCATAAGTCAAGTTTATCTCTTCTAATTAAGTAAGATGGATTCATCTTTTTTCATTTAAATACGGAGTACGTTTTAATTTAATTTCAACCCAAAAATGAAATTCATTCATTTACTCTGCCGACTCCCGCCGGCCCACAACCCTCTCTTTAAAACAATAATTTCTGGTCGTCATCTTCACAAATTCAGTTCAGTTCAAATCACCTAACTCTGTAATTTCTTAACTTCCTCATGCTCAGATCAGATCCACACCCACAAACCCAGATGATAATTGCCCAGAAAAATGATAAGTTCTTCTCGAGGCTTTTATCAAAAGAAGAAAAATCCTCTGCCAATAAAGAATCCTCTTTCAGATTCTTCTCCTGCGAGTCCTCAAAAAGCTCCATCCCTTTCCGGTGGGAATCCCAGCCCGGAACCCCCAAACACCCCCTCTCCGCCGCCTCCCTCCCGCCCCTCACGCCGCCGCCGTCCTACCACTCCTCATCCTCCCCTGCCTCCGCCCGCCTGAAATCCTCCTCCCGCGGCGGCGGCGGCTTCATCGCCCGGAGCTCCTCCCTGCCCACCAAGCTTCTGCAGATCCCGCTTTCTTTCTCGCGGCGTTACTCCTCCAAGAAGGCCGTCGCCCCGTCGATTTCGTCGTCGTCCTGTTCGTCGTCGTTCTCGTTGCCGCCGGCCACCCCGACGCCGGATTCAAACGGCCGGAGAAAAGGGTCGGGGTCGGATTTCCGTCTGAGGGTCGAGGAGATGTTTAGGGACAACGTCGGCGGCGAGCAGCAGCCGTGCTCCGGTGACGGAGGCATTGGTCCCGGCGGACAGAGCTCAAAGAGTCTCCGTGCCAGCAGGTCATGGTTATGCTTCAACAATTTATGATCTATATATCATAATAATGTAAAAGTTTTAATTTCTAGTACTATTATTTTGGTTTGGTAATAATATTAGATTTTTACTCAGTGTGATGGACTGAACATAAAAATAAATATGCATGGATGCATCATATTGGGTATAAGTTTGAAATGTAAGAAAAATTAATTTGTCCTCAAGTAAAATTTATTGGGTATAGTACCAAAAGTAAACATTTTTCTAGTTGTAATTAGTAGCACTTGATACTTCATATTTCAGAATAAGACTTTAATTATGAATTATAATTATTAATTTATGATTTTATTTTATTAAAATATTCTTATACAAAAATTATACTTCATCTGTTCCAAATTAAATTACTTGTTTACTATTCACAGATGGTCAAATTTCATTCACTTTCTTTTCTTATTTTCGTTAGTCATTTGATAAAATAATAAAACCATGTCACTATTAGTTTTGTAGATCTTTTGATATAGTTTCTAAATATGTAATTTTTATTTTAAAATTCTACAACATTTTTTATATAAAATGATTTGAGAATAACTTTAGTAAAAATTATATGCCGAAATAGACGATTTATATTAATCTGAGACGGATGTAATAATTTATCGGGCTTGGATCACGTGCATCCGTATGTCTGATTTGCAGGATCCCTGTCGTCGTGCGCTAATTTTAGATTTGGTTATTTTCGTATCGATGCATATTGTGAATTTTTCGGATATAATTTGATTTGATCTCATCTAAAACCATATTTAAGATTTAATTTGAAATTCACGTACGTAGAAGTTGATGACTCGGCATCCATTATAAGAAGTTCTCAGAGAATGCATTGAAATAAGAAACGTAAAGAATGACACCAGATATGTTTAAACAATTCGAGATAATTCAATTCTCCCTTGAATTTCAATTCTCATTATGTTTGAAATATTTATTTATGCACCTGGCAAAAATGTTATAACAATTTACATGGTCATGGTTATTGGTGCAAAACAGGATTTTCAACCTTAACAATTTGTCACTTGGAAAAATATAAAGTATAATTGTCTCTGATTAAAAACAAGTCTCTTTAATACTCCGTAGCAAATAAATTTGTGAAAGTGAGTGGTCCTAACTACTTTCAATGGTCATAACATTAGAAGTAATATATATATATATATATATATATATATATATATATATATATATATATATATATATATATATATATATATATATATATATATATATATATATATATATATATTGGTTCCGGTGAGAATAAGATCTTATGAAAGAAATAAGAATAAATTGTAACCATTAGATCTTTATCAATCTGGTTGATTCATCCCGTTTACATACAGGGCATTTTAGGACTTTTAGTTCTTAATAGTATCTTTCCTATTCTGTCTCCCTAAAATTTTGTCACTTTTCATGCGTTTCCTTTTCTTCATCCACGACCAAGTAATTCATTCTGTTTTCATCCATGGCAGAGTTCTAAATTGAGGTATCTTCTCGCAATTTATTTTCAATTTCTTGATCAATTCATCATCTAGAACTCATCACCCATGTCCCCTTTGAATTTTTTATGGCCTTCTTGAGGTGGTGCGACAATTCTCCTAGGTTTGAGATCGGTACAATAGTCCCAACGATCTCAAATTCTCTTTTATTGGATNCTAAAATTTTGTCACTTTTCATGCGTTTCCTTTTCTTCATCCACGACCAAGTAATTCATTCTGTTTTCATCCATGGCAGAGTTCTAAATTGAGGTATCTTCTCGCAATTTATTTTCAATTTCTTGATCAATTCATCATCTAGAACTCATCACCCATGTCCCCTTTGAATTTTTTATGGCCTTCTTGAGGTGGTGCGACAATTCTCCTAGGTTTGAGATCGGTACAATAGTCCCAACGATCTCAAATTCTCTTTTATTGGATCCCTTTCCTTGCGAGGATTGTTTTTTTATTTGTCTACTCTATGGTCGTAGAAAGGGCGATGGAAGATTGCTCAGTTTGGGTTCAAGTTACCAGGCCGAACACAAGGTGTTTGATAAAATGCCTTTAAGAATCAAATGAACAAAATAGGTGGTGCTACTACCCCAAATGCAATCGAGAGATCTCCTAAACACTCACAACAACCTCTATATGCATTACTATTGATAGATTGTGGCTGTGATCTTATTTCTCAAACAAGGTAATGCATTCTAACCATGATTCAATCTTAATATATATGGAATATAATTGAAGAACAAGTCTTTTGTTTGCTCTTTTATGTGTTCTAATGTTTAAGTTCTGTGCATTTTCTTATGAATCTCTTGCAATTCTTGAATCAATTTTTTAGTTACTCTATGCATTCTAATATTTACTTAAGTGCATTCTGATATTCAAGGTAATGCATTGTTATTCACAGTGTTGTCAAGAAGAAAACTGACGGTATGTTTTTGTTACTGTGAATTTTGGAAATGCATTAGCACCTTCAATTTTTAGGCCTATATAGAAAGGAATTAGGCCCACTGCATTTTTATATTTTTTTTAAGTTTTCATCAACTAAAATGCTCAAATTCTCTCTACACAGGTATGTTCTTCTTAAGTCTAATTATTGAGAAGTTAGCTTTAGTTTTATGTTAGTTTCACTTTCAGGTTTCTCCAATCACAAATTTAGCGTGGTTGATTTAATTTTTATCTAGGTTAATGCATTTTTTGCCTATACAAAAATAAAGCTCTCTTACTGCATATTTGTGTCTGAATGTACAAAATTTAGTTTACTTCGTACATTTTCTTGTCTGCCTAATGCATCCCGTTTACAGAAAAAAGAGCTTGAGCTCTAGTACTAATTTTTTCTAAACATACGAAGCATAAAAATGTATTTACTTTGGTTAGAGGGGTTATCATTATTTTGTATAATTAAAAAAAGGTAGTGCATTAAAATAAGAAAACAATGCATTCTTAGAATCATGATAATGCATTTAAATAAGAAGAAAATGCTTACTTAAAATCAAGATAAAAAATGTTGTATTTTGTTACTATGCATTTTCATTAACAGTATGATGAAATTCACCATACACAAATATAATGCATTTGTATATTCTCGATAGTAAGTTGTTTGCAAACAATGATGCACATTGAATGATGCAAATTTTAAAAGATTAAAATGCATACTAGTATTTTATAGCACCAAGTGCAAAAAGAGAGTCTATTTGATAAATAAATCATTGCCTATTAGCTCAAATGGTAGAGCGGTATGTACTACAGGTGTGGGTTCAAATCCTACATAGGCAAACTATTTTTCAAATTCAAATTAAACTTGTTTAGGCACAATGCATTCTCAGTTTTTTTAATCGCATATAAAGTCATTCATAAGTCATTCTTCGCTAATTTACAAATAAATAGAATAAAAATTAAATAAAATCTAATGGTCAAATTATAGTGCATTTATCGGTCATTACGGTACATTTACATTATATGTGTAAATGTAGATATCATAGTGCGTCTCTTCGAAATAAATCCAAAAAGTGAGATATAAAACAATTCTTAAATAAGATGCATTTTCAACTATAAAATTCATTATTCTTAAAAATTTGTTGAGTAAATTCAGAGACTTAATTTGGGACATGAGTGTAGCACTAAGATAGTGTGTAACACCCTGAAATATCGGTATATAATTATTTATTTACATGGTTAAATAATAATGAAAAATAGTATTTATAAATTTTACTTTTCTTACTT